TATCGAGACACCATCTCTAGCCTTTACTCAACCAAGAGCCCCAAGGCAGGGGATGTTTAGCTGGATGCAGTTAACATCTGCCCAAGATGAGTGTTTTTATCGAGACACCATCTCTAGCCTTTACTCAACCAAGAGCCCCAAGGCAGGGGAATTTTTAGTCGGAGTTTATTTCTCCTAGCCTTTGCATAAGAAGAGCACACTCTGCAAGGCAGCAGGGCTTGTGGCAGGTGGTACTGGGTTACGTGATACCAGTAGCAAGATTGATCTCGATTATCCTGACCTGACCTGGAGTAGTTAAAAGGAGCTACTTCTCGCAACAGTACTTTGAGAAAACCAGGCATGACATTTTGGAAGTGCATAAGGAAAAACACTGCATCTAACAAAATACAGGAGTCTAAGGTGAGTGTACGTTTTGTAGTTGGAGTAAGTAGTTAGTTACTGAGCTCACGCTGCATTAGAGTATAAACAGAACACAAACAAACATAAACATAAATCAACTTACGGGTGAGTCAACACCGCGCCAGAGGTTCAGACAGAACACAAACATACATAAAAAACATAAAGTAACTTACGGGTGAGCGAACACCGCGCCAGAGGTTCAGACAGAACACAAACATACATAAAAAAACATCAAAAACATAAACATAAACATAAAGTAACTTACGGGTGAGCGAACACCGCGCCAGAGGTTCAGACAGAACACAGACATACATAAAGAACATAAAGTAACTTACGGGTGAGCGAACACCGCGCCAGAGGTTCAGACAGAACACAAACATACATATAACGTAGATTACAGGTGAGCTAATACAGTAACTAAGGCACCTCCAACTATATGGGGAAAAAAAAATTACTATAGGCATGACTGATATAAGATAGTACTGATGACAGGAAGAACACTCCTTCCAGCCTTTGCTTAGATAGCAAATCCTGCAAGGCAGCAGAACATGGAACAGGTTGCACTGGGTTACATGTTACCAGTAGCAGGATGATCATGAAGACCATACTCCTGACCTGACACAAATATATGTATAATAAATAAATAACATTAAAAGATACAACAACTAAAAAATAAACAAAAAATTATTAATTATATTAACGAAAAATAATATAATACAAGAAAAATAATAATATAATAAAAGATTATTATTTAAAAAATAATAATATAATTCAAGAAAATTAATAATAATAAAATTAGAAACACAAAAAATTACAATATATTGTTACAAATTAAACCGTTAATAAAATAAGTATAAAACAACCAATCTTCTTATTCTTTGTTTGTAACTTTATTCATTTTTCCTTCTTCTTTTCTTTTTTTGTTTCTTTTTATTGGTTAACTTTTTTCTTTCTTTCTTTTTTTGTTCTTTTATTGTTTTACGGAATCGTTCTTTTCTTTTTTTTTTTTTTTTAGTTCGAAATTCTGTTTATCTTTTTGTAAATATTTTCTTATATAAATATTGTTTTAAATTAATTTATAAGATTATTGACTTGATTATGATTTATTGGTGATTATGATTTAAAGGTGACTTTTTTAAAAACAATATTTACCTTTTAATTTGAGTTTAACTTTATTCTTTATTTTCACTTTAGCTTTTTTAACGGTTAAAAAAACGCGACCGCCATTTGCGAAGACCTTGTATTGTGACATAAGCGTAAGTTAATAATTCAACATTATAATATTATCAACAAGAAGAAAATCATTTACAACTTTGAAAATTGTTATTAAAAAAATCAAAAAAAATTATTAGAAAGTTACGTGTTTTAAACAGTTAATGTGTGATTTTTGAAGGAAATTTAATTTGAGTCATTCATTTTAATTTATGGTTATAGTTTGAACAAAATGTAACCATAAATAATAAATAAAGAGAGTGGCTTAAGCATGGCAGGTAGAGCAAGTCAACTAAATTTACAATACAATTTAGGACCTTGTCTAGAAACATAAAAAGAATCATTAGAAAAGCCAGCCCAATTATGGCAACAATATTCTACAGGGAGACAAACAGGAGATTTAAAAAGGTAGAGAATGGTATCAGGAGTAAAAAAATGGAAAGCATGATAAAGAGAAGCAATCTTAGCAGATGTTGCATGAGAGGTCACATGAGTGAATGATAATCCATAAGCAAATAGAGCCACTTTAAATGTAAGATTGTCAGAATGATCATTAATATGAATGAAAAAACAATACAGGACCAACAAAAATTCTAAAAGGATGCACTCTTGAGAAGAAGGAGAAAGATATAAAAAAAAAAAGAGTGATTGAGTGAAGAGATGCAAAGCAGAAGTATATAAAAGAATGGTTAGAGGATTAAAACCTGATTTCTCAACAAATAGAAGAACTGATGTGTAGGTATATAAAACCAAGCATGTTACTATTTACTTTGCAAATCAAATGATAATAGTCATCAACACTGAGATCTGAAGAAGAAAAAAATCAAATTAGTCTCACAAAGAGCAAGTAAGGTGAATTTTGCAAGAGGTAATATTCAACTGATGGAAAGTTACTTCCATTAGTTAAATCTTACCTCTTGCAAAATTCACAAGTATTTGTAAAAGACAGATTGAAACAGTTAGGTAGTGGTAATGGTTTATGTTTATAATTTTTTTGGGTACTTGACATGCCATGATCTACTATAGATAGTTAATTCAAATAATTGTATGACACCTTGAATAAGCTTCAGTCCAGTTAATTAACTTAAAGTCATAAGTAAGGGCTCCTTATGTGACCTTGAAAATACTTATAAGGATACCATCCATGCATAACATGGTACTGTTAATACTTTGATATTTTATAGCTGTTGATGAAATCAGCGTCTTTGAAAGCTACAACAGAGTTCGGGAAACCTTATGATCAGGCAACCTCAGAACCATTAAACTGAGTACCATCATTAGTAGATAACAGGAAGAATTGCATAGCCACTATCAAGGACCTACAAGCAAAAATCTATGAGTAGAGTCAAGATCCACCAGTTTAAAGTTATGAATATGTTTAAAAGTATGAATATGTTTAAAGGTATGAATATGTTTAAAAGTATGAATATGTTTAAAGGTATGAATACTATTGAAGGTATGAATATGTTTAAAGGTATGAATACTATTGGTAGAGTAACAAGACTCAAAACTCTTAATAAAAACATCAAATTTTTTTCCAAAAGAATTATTTCATTTCTAATATTTTTATAAAAATCATTGTTAAATTAAATTTAATAATAGCTAAGTTTAATATTCATTTCACACATTAACATAAACTTTATGTTTGTAAAAATGTAAAAGAGAACTTATAAAAATTAGTCTTCAAAATAGTCTGACTATGATTTGCAAGTTTGGAAAACAAAAACATAATTAAAAGAATCTGGTAAAATACAAACAAAAAATAATAATAATACATGCTCATCAAATTGGTTTTAAACAATTTATAATAAAAAAGGATCTTCTCATGCTACCATAAGACTCAGCCAAGCTTCTGGTGGCAAACAACTTTTGTTAACAAAAGGCAACAGATTTTCATTGAAAAGTCCCAAGCCGAGTTTTTTATTGAAAAGTCTCAAGACTTTAAACAAGTTTTTATTACAAACACTACAAGGTAAAAATAACTCAGTTTGTAAATAAAGTGACTCAAAGAGTCACTTTATTTACAAACTATGCCTAGGACAGTAAAATCACAATTTCTTTGCCAAATGCTCTCAAAACCCAAGCTACAACCAGTGTTTATTTCAATATTGGTCTTTCTAACACCAAAATGAGGACATTGGAATCTATCTTAAGCAAGTCAACAGGGTTCAGTCTGATTGATATTTTACAAATTAACAGTTGAAGAAAAGAAACTCTTTAAATTTTTGTCACAGTCAAAAGTTGCTTTTGAACCATGAACCTGTAGCAGAAAACACAGAGATTGTTTATTAAAAAAACTTTGAAAAAAACAACTAATGATGCTATGCATCATTAGTTTGTTTTTTTAAATTGAACCAAAACACTTGACAGATTATTTCATTAAGATTGAAATTTATGGCAAAAGACTATTTTTTTAAATAATTCTTGGTCTTATTAACACACAGTATGCAGCACTACATTCCGGAGTTGGTCTTATAAATACATCACAGGAAACTGATTCAAAAATTACTTTAAATTTTAACAGCCTGAGATGCTGAATTGAAAACGTGTTTCTCATTAAAATCTTGCAAAATTGGAAGATTTTGATATATTCTATAATTACTTTTCTAAATGTATGTACTCATACCTCCAAATGGTATTTTTGAGAATTGTTGTAAGCATTAACTCTAAAATTTGCAGACCATAGTAATACATGATATGTAACACAAAATCTGCCCTAGCTCAAGGATTGGTAAGACATCGTCTGTCCTAACTCAAAACTTAACTCATCAAAAAAAAAACCCTGACAGATTGCTATTTCACACATATTTCTATATAAATATTTTATATAGAAATCTAGTAAAAAACTCTCTATTTTTCAAGAATTTGAGAAAATATTTTATTCAAGTTTTTTAAATAAAATTATAGTAATAATTATTGTAAATCATTATTAAAGTTTATTATGAATTTATAGGTCAAAACTATCATATCTTAAGAAAGATATTTATCAAAAAATATTTATCAATGAGAGAACTTTCCTCAAAATTTATTTTCATTATGTTGGCCACAAATCACAACATAAAGAATCAACTTTTAAATCATTACATAAATTATTGACTTTTGTGGGTGAATAGAAAAAATAAACATTTACAAAAAAACTTTGAAAAAAAAAATTGCAATATTTCTTATTTACTGATTTTTGTTGTTGTAAATTTAAGTCAAAATTGCAAAAAATATTTTCTAAATATCTTTTAGCAAAAAAATCTCAACATTAACTTTATAATAACTTAATTAACAGTAAATGTAATATAATAAAACTTCAGAAAAATATTGAATTATTATAAAATGAAATTTTATTCTTCATATGTTGAAGCGCAAAACCAAAAAAAATATATAAAAATAAATCTTACTTCTTCTTCATATGTTGAAGAGCAATTCCAGAAAAAAGGAACAAAAGAACATGCACAGCAGTTTGCTTTACTTTAACATCAAACATAGCCATGTATTTAGAAAAGAAAACCAGAGATGAAGAAAAAAGTTCCTCTGGATCTATAACAAGAAAACAAATTATCTAATAACATCCTATTTCCTTAAAAAAGTTAATTTCAATAGAATCTACTTGATTGAGATTTTATTTTGCTAATAATGCTATTGTTGTTAGTAAGATGCTGCTGTTGTTAATAACATGCTACTGGGTCAAGTACTAATGGGTCATTTCATGTCAAATTAGCTGGTGTTGCTACTTTTGAATAAGCTAGTTTTCATAAATGTTAAAGGACTTATAAAAGTTTAAAGAACATGAAACCTTCAATATGGGCAACTCATTAAAACATCCAGGGTATGCAACTGTAAGCCTTAGAATTTGCTGACTTTTTCACCTTAAAAAAATTTATCAGCCCACGGAAATAGGAAAAATGAGATCGACAATAAATTAATTTAATATAAACTGATTTAATAAATTATGATTGTCCTAAAAATTCAAACTGGTTCCGAAGATATAAAAATTTTAAACTTATAACTTATGCTATAAGGAAAAGCGACACATCTTTAGAAAATAATTTTTTTTTAGCTGTGACAAACTAATTTTGATATGTAATATTCCTACATGTTTACCAATGATAAGAATTTAATTAGTTATCTAATATTATTGATAGATAATTAATTTTGTTGATGGGGTTCAACTGTCAATATTATCCCTATATGGAATAACATTAATAGTAAAATGTTTTTAGCTGTAAATGTGTTTGTTTTAATTTCTGAAACAACTAGATAATTTTTTACATCTTTAGTTTCTGATATTTTGTTCTTACCAGAATTAGGTGTGGATTTTAACTTAATGCAAGTGTCAGTTTTTAGATCTGTTGACACTTAATATCTTTTTTTTATTTATTTTTTTTTTAACTCTTTTAACTTAAGGATTTTTATTATTATTATTATTATTTCAACATCTTCACTTTCAACAAGGCTGCAAGCAACCACTATTCGAGTTGAAAGTTACTGGAAGAGAAAAAATGAAGTTCATAGACCAATATAATGATTAATAGGTAACTTAAAAAATATTATAAGATATGGCAACAATACTTCATACAAGGACGGATTTAAGATTTATAGAGATAAAGAATAGAATCCAGAATAAGAAAGTGTTTAGCACAATAAAGAGATGCAACCTTAACAGAAGCTAACTTTGGAATCAATTTGATATATGGTTTCCAAGAAAGATTGGAAGTAAGAGTTAATTTTAGAAGATGAAATGTAGATGACTCATCAAGTACATTAGCGCTCATAAATGTAGGAAGATCTAGATTGTTTTTGTTTGATTCCATTTCATGTAATTGTAGATTGCAAGAAATGGAATCAAGATTCATTTAATGTAAGCATTCCACAAACTTTTGCTTGATTCTTGGCTTATGGGGTGATTTGAGCATTCCTGTAAATGTTACCCCAAAACAGAAATGAACATTTTAAAAAAAATGCTACAAAAAAATCCTAAATGCTTAGTATTTAGAAACAATATCATAAAAACACATGTAAAATAATATTATAGTATGGGTTTACTTATCTTTTAACTAAAGTTTTTCAGCAACGAAAAAAAAAAGAAAAGAAATTGGTTTAATTTATGCCCGCCATATTGTGTTGTTTTTTATACTTATTATTATGCGGATTAAAAAAGTTATATTTGTTCATTCAGTATCTGGCTTCAGCATCTGGTAAAATAATTTAACCAATAGTTGACAGGTGAAGGGTAAAAACATTTAATCTAACACATGCAAATGTCACCAACATGTCAAAGAAACTCTGCGTTACCTTAAAAAAATATAAATACAAATAATAATTGCAACAGTTTTACATGGAAACATTTTAATTAAAAAACAAACAGTTTAACATATGAAAAAAATTGTCTGTTTTTTATGAGTCTACTCATAAAAATGACAATTTAAAATCAATAATCATCAATCAATGTTTAGTGTATTAATGAGATGAATAGAATAGTGATATTCTTAAAAATAAAGCGATAACCAACTTACTTCACATTCATAAATTGCTAAATCCTAAACTTAATTCAAAAAAGTTTAAAAATAGTTTAGGTTACAATAAATGTATTATACTGGCAGAATTTGCAAAGAACTATCAGTTTTTAATATATAATGAAATACAAAGAATTTCACAACAATAAACATAAAATTCAGTTTTTATATATTTTAGAGAAATATAATATAGAAATAAATAAATATAAAATGACAACGACCTTTTCAAAAGATTACAAGACCATGATGTTCTTTATGTTCAAATTTCAAAAAAAAATTAAGTAACTAAGAAATACTATAGTCTACCATAAGAAATATAACTTATACTATAGTCTACCATAAGAAATATAACTTGTGGCCAACTTGCGGTATTCCATTGATCACCTCTTTGTTTGCATTTTTTAGTGTCCAGTCTGAGTGCACAAAATTTATTTCGGATTATTGTTATTAAAAGGACTATTATTATTGTTATTAAAATAATATTAATAACAATAATAATAGTCCTTGATATAAAATATATGTTGATAACAGTGTTGCATTTGCCATTCATGTATATTCTTGGCTCATTCCAGATGATCATTAAATATATACAAAATAAAGAAGATCAATCCAACATACTTCAGCTTCAAATCTTATTTCTGTTATACAAATCTTATTTCTTTTTCTACTTCTGTTAACCTTTATTCTGGAATAACTTGTGTATTTGCATTAAAATCAAATCTTTATATTACACATTGTATTTTTAAAAGGTTTGATTTATTTTCATCTAAGAATGAATTTCCTTTAAATCAGACAGAGTATTTTCGAATTCAGTAATGTATTATGCTCATTGAGTTAATGTTATGTTGTTGCTCAATGTTATGAGTTAATGTTATGATCAATGTAAAAGCGTAGAAAAAAATGAAACCTGAAGTTTGAAAATGTTGCCAATACTTATACCCCTGCTAAATTAAATGCTGCTTAGCATCTCTTTATTCTATTGCATTTTTCTTTGTTCTTTATTGTTCTCCTTTTCCCCAAAAGTGCTCTCTTTTAGATTTAATTTCTGAACAAAATGACCTTTTCTTTTTACCCCTCTGCCTTTTCTTTTTACCCCTCTGCTAATATTGTTGTTATTGGTGACTTTAATGCTCATCACACTGAATGGCTTGGTTCTCACTCCACTGTGAAGTTATGGGCACTAAGCCCATAACTTCTGCATTTCTCAATCTCTTACTCAGATAGTCAACTTTGTGACTCGTTTTTCTGAGAACCCTCATTATTTACCTTCACTCCTTGATTTGTATCTCTGACCCTAGCTTGTGTTCAGTTTCTCCTTTTTCTCCTTTTTTTATAAAATTTTTTTATGCGGCGTAAAAGTCCTTGTTCTTCCGTGTTGTTTTATGAAAAGACCATTATTTATATTAGGCAGAACGTCTGTAGATAGAAAACATTTTAGAACAACTTTTAATATTATTACAAACATGGCTTCAAACAGAGTACAATTTATGCTGTTGTAATGAGCTTTGTTCCTCATAATCGAAACAAAATGTATTGCTTCTGACTATTTTCTGTTGTGATTGTCTTTCAGACACAAGCAAAGCAAACATACAGCAAAATTAATTAAAATACAGAACTAGCTTGGACAGTAGCATACATCAAAATACAGTACTAGCTTGCATATACTAAATACAAGAATTACACTTAAAAAAACAACAACAACAACAACAACAACAACAACAACAACAACAACAACAACAACAACAACAACAACAACAACAACAACAACAAAAACAACAACAAAAACAAGCTATTTATTTTCCATAAATCATTTTTACAATAGTTTTGATAATAATAAAAATAATATTAATAACAATAATAATAGTAATAAAAGATAAAAGAAAATTTAATACAAATTATAGTAACAGTAATAAAAAGTATGTTTACAATAATTACAATGAAAAAATAATAATAATAAATATTATGATGGTAATTATGAGCATAAAATTATTTATAATAATAAGTTAATGATTTATTAGGAGGGTGTCACTCTTACAGAAGTCTGATCAAAGGAGCGATATCAATAAACATAAACACATAGATTAAAGCGCATAGAATATATATTAAAAATAAACATGCAGTAAAAATAAATCATAATTTGCAGGTTATAATAATGTCACTCATACAGAAATCTGATCAAAGGAATGACAATAATTCATAAATATGATATAAGTAATAATAAGCAAAGACATACATTGAAACGCATGGACCGAAACACATAGATTAAAGCACATAGAACATACATTAAAACAAACATGTAGAAATCATAATTTGCAGATTTTAATAATAAAAAAAAGAAAAAAATAAACAAACAAAAAGTACTGATGTTAATTGTAGTAGAAACGAAAAGAAAATTAAAAGAATATTTTAATAGTAAGATGTCTAAAAGTTAGAAAAAAAAGTTTTTCAGAACTTTTTTAAATTGATTTTGTTTGAGATGGAGTAAAAGTATTTTAGGATGTAGTTCTTTGGACTTATTCAAAATACATGCAAGGCTGTTCCATTCACTGATGCACTGATAAAAAATAGAATGTTTACCATACTTCTGGGTTTTAAAAAATGGTACATTTAATTTTCCATTGTGTATATTTCTAGTAGAGTAGGAATGTAATAGTCTAATTTCTGTAACAAGCTTGTGATGGGAGTAAGTTTTTATTTAAGGAATCAAAACAAAAAGAAGATTAGCATACTTTACTAGCGCTGGAAATGTTGGAATAAAAAGTTTTTTGAAGGACTCCAATGTATCTGATTTAATTGGTTGGGAGTTTATTAATAAAAGTTTATTAATAAACTGAGATTAAAATAGATTAAGAAATGCTGAGACTATAGGAAATGTTAATGAAATAGTTTCCAACTTGACCCCAACCTTGACAACAATACCTAAGATGATATGAGAATAATACATAGTAAATATTCATAAATGTAACTTTATCAACATAATGACGAATTATTGAAAGCATACTGTTAGCTCAAAATTTCTTGCTTAGTTCATCAATGTGAAAGTTCCATAAAAGATTGCAATCAATTAACACACCAAGATATTTAATAATTCTTGAAGGATATAGCCATTTATTATTAATTTTGATTTTGATTTCAACATTTTTAAAGAAATAGTTTTTTCCTAGAAATGAAAAAGTTAGTTCAGTTTTTTCGGTGTAACAGATTAGGTTAGCATTTAACCAGTGATATATACCTTTTAGATCCGAATAAATATTTTTACATAAAGAATGATACAATTTGTTGATGTGCAAGGAATTTGTATCATCAGCAAACAGATGAACAGAGAAGTGAACAGAGTTGATTGGGTTGTTGACGTAAATTAAAAACAAGAGAGGACCTAGAACAGAAACTTGAGGAACACCATATAAAACTGATTTATTACTAGAATTGAAACCAATAATACTTACAAATTGTTTTCCATCTGAAAGATAAGATCAAAACCATTTATAACACCACAAATTCACAATGTTTCAATTTAGAAATCAAAATACTATGGTCAAAATCAATAAAAACACTACAAAAGAAATGACCAGTATCAAGAGCTGATTTTTTCTTTTATACTTATAATTCATGGCAAATAATGAATGGAATGTTTTGATTGAAAACTATAAATCACTTATTGTAATATATATAACATATGATAACAAAAAACTGTTTCACAACATTTTACAAACATATTTTCACAAAAGAAATTAGTTTTTGATTAATGATAATAAAAATTTTAATATGGCAGGCACTATGATCTATGCTAACTTACATTTTACCCTTTATTAATAAATAACTAACATTGTTTTACAATTTTTATTTTATTTATCATTTTATCATTTAAAATTGTGTTTCAGTATTGAAACAAAATATCAGTTAGTAAAAATAATGCTTAACAAGAAAGTAATTTTTATTCACTGTTAAAGTACTCTAACAAACGTGCTCTAGATCATAGGATAAATAGAAAAGATTGTAAGATAAATAGAAAAGATTGTAAGATAAATAGAAAAGCTCCCAACTTTAATGTAAAGTTCAAACGTTCAGTGTTAAATTAATTTTTATTATTAAGGAAAATTACATTTCTAATACTAAAAAAAATAAAAGACGTTATATTTATACCAACATCATTTTGATGGATCTGCTGCGAAATATCTTCAATACTAAAACTAGTAGCCAAGTCCAATAATGGAATTTCCAAACATAATTCAAAATTATCTTTAAGAGTCTGTATAGTACATTCAGTTCTTAGGTTCAAACTGCAGGCTAATGCTTCCTTAAAATAAAAATGACAAATTAAAAAATAAATAAATATAATAAACAAAATAAAAAATACATAAAAAAAAAGAACTTAACTTTATATTATAAATGTTATTTGGAGTTAAAAACCATTTATATATATATATATATATATATATATATATATATATATATATATATATATATATATATATATATATATATATATATATATATATATATATATGTATATATATATGAGAAGTAACATGGGATCGAGGATGGAATTTTGTTGTATCTCTGAAGTTACTAGAAATGAGGGTATGTGTTGTATATCAAGAACAACTTTAATATCATTAGATGTGTAGAAAATACTATATAACTAAAAACTATAAACACTATATAATGCAAGCTTATAGAGAAGACAAGCATGCCAGACTTTATCAAAAGCCTTTAATATATCAAGAGAAACGGGGAAAATAAAAACTGGAGATGTCACTTCCTAGCAAGCAGGAAAATAGGTTTCAGTTAAATTTCAGATAAACACTTGTTAAATAGTTTAAAGTGTAATGAAGAGATCTGGAGAAAAAAATTGTAAAACTGTGACAGGAATGTCAAAGTCAGACAACAAGCTGTAAAGGACCACAAGCTGTAAAAAATTTTAAGTTTAACTACTATATTGAATAATTGGAACTATAAAGTAAAAAAAAAAAAAATTATAAAGATGGTAATTGTTGTTTGCATTATCAATAAAGTAAAAAAAAAAAAAAACTATAAAAAACTTTATTGAGAATAACTAAACTTATATATAAAGGATTTTATAAAATCATATTTATCAGTTAAATAATGAATGTTAAATAATTAAATCTTGAATGATAAAATTTTTTGGCTGTTTCTTAGTTTTGTTCTCCGTAAAGATTTTTCTGACAATTGAACAAAACAATAATCACGATGAACACGATAAACACAATCGGTTTCTATATAAAGTTTTAAAATATTTTTTTTTATTTTCGAACATTTTACGCAGCATTTAAAAAAAAAATAACTTTTGTCAATAGAATTTAGAGAGTAATAATTTTTTATTTATCAGTCCAATATAATCAAATCCATTTGTATTTAAATTAGCGCTTTTTTCTAAATTTTTTTATTTGCAACAACCATTCTTATTTAAAAAGCATTGCAGTTTAATATGCAATTAAATTTTATAAAAATGACTTTGTGTTTATTATTTTAGTTACAATGATAATTATACTTTTTAAAGAAAAAACTATACTTTTGCGAGGGCACTGTGTCAAATGCCCTGGCGAAATTCAAAAAAATAACATCAACAGGTTTACCATTCTCTTGGTGGTTGAAACAAAATCAAGTGTTTCAAGTAGATTCGTTAAGCATGATTTATTTTTAACAAAACCGTGCTGTTGCTTGACTATTAGTTTGAACTTATATAGAAAAGTTTCAAGTCCTTTAACTATAAAAATGTGTTTTTTATTAATTTTATTTTATTCTAAAATTGTGTAGTGATGGTACTCGTTTTGTTTTGTTTTGTTTTTTTTGTTTGTTTTTTTTTCGTTTTTTTTTTCTATATTTATTTTAATTTGGTATGATATATTGAAATTATTCATTTAGTAATTAATTTGATACATGAAAGAGTAGGTATAGCACCATCAATTCAAAACTTTTCATTTACAAAAAAAAAACCACAGAACTTTTTCTTGTGTTTAGGTAATAAATACCATATATTAATGGATAAATAAGGTTGAGAAAAAAATAAAAAAAATAAAAAAAAATTAATTAGAAATCTGGTAATGGCAGGAAAAAACTATGATTAGTTTAAGTGTTAAAACCCAGACCCAATAAGGATAAATAATAAATAATAAAGCAATAAATCAAATTAAAGGATTTGGATGTTTAACAATGGATTAACATGCTCTTTGGGATGGCAAGATGAGTGTGGTCATGAGATTCAAGAGATGAATTAGAGAAAAATTTATTTGCAAATAGTTCTAGCTTATACTTGGGAGAGGTCAGAACCAAGTATGGAGGTGGAATGCTTTTGGTAATGACCTGATTGCTAGTTAGTTAATATTATTAGCAGTATACACTTTAGCCATATACACTTCTTATTTAAGAACTCTGCAAATATTGTTATAAAAACATTTGCTGAAAATATGTCTTTTGATACCAGTGCACAAAGGTCCAAGAATTTTGGAGGCAAAAATCATATATCTTCATCATTTTTAAAACTAACATCTTAAAATATTTTGTAATGATCTGTATTATATCTCAGATAAATACAACAAAGACACATTTCATACCTAATTTTCATTGCTTTATTCATTAAAAATAGTCTCTAGCATATATGATATATGTTTGATTATTTGTTCAATAGAATAAATATCATCCAGGTGTAGAATACTAAAAAAAGATTTCATAATAAAAGTTACATTCAACATAATTGTTTTGGTAGACTTATTTTTGAAAGCTAAATATGTGCTTTTGAAAACAAGTCTACAAAATTAATAGTTGAATATGTCCAGAAGACAATAAACTATCAATAGTCTACTGGACATTTTGTGCATTTATAAGATTTGTTTATTATAACGTATTTAAGTTTAATATAACATTATGAATGTGTATTTAAAAATGCAGTACACTTTTGAGATCTTGGTAAACTAAAATAACAAACTTATCAAGAACACCAGACCAATATTAAATAAGAAAAAATTAAATATGACACTAATTTTATACACTTATAATAATTTATACCATTATAACATAAGAAATAATAAAATATTCACACAAAAATTTAGATGAACTCCTTTTGCATATTAAAAAACATCCAGAAATAAAACACAAAAAACACATTCAAATTTTAAGTGACATTTTATTATATTATTACATGAACATTATGAATACTCTTTAGTTCCTATGGTAACATAAGAAGAACATATGACAACATAAAATGTACAAGTTATACTTGTTTATATATTATACCTGCAAAGTTATCTTTGCAGGTATAATAAGTTTAGTAATAAACAAGTTTTTACTAAACTGAGCTTTTTGAAATAATATTATGGCAAAGATTTTTTAAGTCTTTAATATGAAACAATTGTCACATCTTCAAAAAAAAAGGAAACTTACATTTTTGGAAAAAAATTATTTTTATCCCTATTTTAACTCTTTAACAAAACTCTACTAAATAATTCTATTTGGTACATCCGAGTAGCAATAATAACATCCAAAAGTAGATCATAATGAACATGTTAGTTTTATAAAAGAAAAAAAAATTATTAATAATAATTTACAGCTCTAAGTATTATTTACTTTAATGGTAACTTACCTTTCCATAAACTACAGAATGCTCTCCAGTCAAAATAAGTTTTCCAGGAGCAGTTGAAATAACTTTATTATACATCTTAACTAATAAATTTAGGTAAAAATCATAATAAATGTCAACGGTTTTTTTGCAAAAATAACAATATTTGGCATAAAAAACGTAAACAAAAAAAAGTTTTTAAATTTATATATATATATATATATATATATATATATATATATATATATATATATATATATATATATATATATATATTGGGTTGTAACACAAGCTCGTAGAGTTTTTTCATAAAGATTTATTTGAACAAAAAACGATAATTATAATGATAAATTAATCAATGATATATTCTCCGTTACTGTTTACGACCTCCTCCCATCTCTTGACCATTTTGTTGATGCCGTTTCGCCAAAAATCAGTCGGTTGGTGTCGAAGAAGTTGTTGAGTCAGTTTTTAAGATCCTCTTCACCATCAAAGGTAACACCCCTCATGGTTTGATAGAGAGCGGAAATGGCGATAGTTGGTAGGTGCAAGATCCGGTGAGTATGATGGATGCTGAAGAACCTCCCATTTAAGCTCTTGGAGTGCTGTTTTGATGACTTGGACTTGACCTTGTCTATCGGATTTTCTCAGCCAAATAGCCTGATTTACACGGTTCAGCTGGGCATTGTAGACCTCCTTGTTGACAGTGGCGTTTTTTTCGAGCATTTCCCAGTGCACCATGCCTTCCCAGTCCCACCAAACACAGATCATGGCCTTTTTGGGTGAAGATCTTGCTTGATTCTCGGCTTCAGCGTCTCTCCTGGAGCCACCCACTCCTTCCTTTGCTTCACATTGACGTACAGACATCATTTCTTATCTCCGTGATGATTCGACACAAAAAGCTCTGTTTGTGTCCATGTGTTGCTCGGTGGTGGGCGAGATGTTGAGCACCGATTTGAAGGCGATTTTCTTTGTTTTCTTCATTGAGCTCGTGAGGTACCCATGCTCCGAGTTTTTGAGTAAAACCAATTGATTGAAGGTGGCGAGAGATTGTCATTGCACTGATGTTCATTTTTTCATCCAATTCACGAGTTGTTTGGCAACCATCTTCCTTCAATAGTGCCTTCAGATGCTCTCTGTCGAATTCTGCAGGTCGTCCTCTTCGAGGCGTGTCTTTAAGGTCAAAGTGGCCATTTTTAAACTTTGCGAACCATTTTTGTGCAGTAGACACACCTAAGACACCTTCCCTGTACACACTGCATATGTCTCAAGCGGCTTTGGCTGCTTTTTGACCTCGATGAAAAGCAAAGAAAAGCAGATGTCGAAAATGCTGATTTTTTCCTCCTGGGTATTCCATTTCTGAGCCAGAAAAAAGACAAACAATTAAATTATCCAAAAAAACAAATAAAACCGTTTTGTAGAAAAGAAAGAGCTCTTTCAAATGAATGTATGCACTTTGCTAAAAAGCAAAACAAATCGTTGTAAAATACCTCTAACGCAAAATCTACGAACTTATGTTACAATCCAATATATATATATATATATATATATATATATATATATATATATATATATATATATATATATATATATATATATATATATATATATATACATATATATGGAGCACCATTATGGAACTCACATTTTACAAAAACATATCAATATGATTGAACAAGTCCAACAAAGATCAAACCATATATGTAAATACAATATATATATTGTATTTACATATATGTAAATACAATATATATATATATATATATATATATATATATATATATATATATATATATATATATATATATATATATATATATATATATACATATATATATATATACATATATATATATATATATATATATATATATATATACATATATATATATATATATATATATATATATATATATACATATATATATATATATATATATATATATATATATATATATATATATATATATATATATATATATATATATATATATATATATATATATATATATATATATATATATATATATATATATATATATATATATGGAGCACCATTATGGAACTCACATTTTACAAAAACATATCAATATGATTGAACAAGTCCAACAAAGATCAAATCATATATGTAAATACAATATGTATTTACTATACCATATACCATGCATAAAAAAAATTTAAGCTGAGAGGTAAAGTTCTTCAACAGATGTATATATATCTGAATGGTAAAATGCAAATAGTCAAGATTAAAGAAAATAAATCAGACAAACTGTGTGATATTGGAGTTTTGAAAGCATTTTTGGACATAATATATATGAACATAAACAGTCTTCTTTCTTCGTAATATATATGAACATTACTGACAGTGTAACAAAATTTGCAGAAATCAAATTTCAAACAAAATGGACTAAAATACTGGTTTTCAACACAAAAATTACACCACTTATCAGAACTGTACCTCTCTCTTATTAGAAACAAATAAAGGGAATCTTCAAATCCTTCAGCTGCTGCAAAACAGAGCAATGAGATCTATCCTCAAATGTAATTGGTTTACACATAGTGTTGATATGCTTAATGACCTAAATTGGGTATTGACTAAACAAATTATTATAGTAAAAGTTCTTACATCTATACATGTTATCAAATTAGAAAATGTCTCCACTAAAAAATTTTATGAAATTTGGAATGAAAGTTGTAAAATAAGTATATTGAACTAGTTTGATGTCATTTTTTTAATAATAATTTAAAAAAAAATCTGTCATGTTGTCGTGTCAACTGCTGTCATAAAAATTAAGTTAATACCTCAACAAGTAAGTATACTTAATGTGGTTTCTGTTGAAGGACTCAAGAAAAAAAGGAGAAGAATATTATTATTTCTGATGTTTCAGAATCCATCGAAACTGATAAAGAAAAGGAAGCTGACATAGAGAAAGTTTATCTTTCCTGACATTAATATTGATACCAACAAAATTATATACATAAAAATATTTAAACCGAAATCAAACATCCAAAATGTTAAAGGGACTTTTCTTATTGAGTTATCATCACAAGAACAAAAACTCCAGTTCTATCTACAGCAAAAAACTTAAAAAGAATCAAGAATTTTCCAATTGTATTCATTAATCTAGATATGACCCCAGCACAAGCCATGTTAGACTGAAATTTGAAAAGAAACAAACAAACTAAATGCTAATCTGACAAAAGAATTACTATTTTAATATGGTACCAGGAGCAACACAATTCAAAAGATCAATAGATTCAAGTCACAAAAAGTCAATAATAAGCTTAAAAAAAGACTAAAATTTTGTACTAAAAAAAAGACCCCAAGAGCAACAATACACAAAATGCATATAAAATTTTTCTACAGTAATACAACATCTTTAAAAAACAAACTAATTGAACAAGAACTAGTAAGCTCAATTTTCAATTATGATATAATAGCAAATTCTGAAACTTTAATGTGCTAAACATAAGTGGATACCAAATGTTCTATCGTAATAGAGAAGGCAAAAGGGGAGGTATAGTCTGTATTTATGCTAAAAATGAATTGTGAAACAATGAACAAAATACACAAATCCAAAAATGGAGAAAAAATATGGTGTGAACTCACATATGGAATTAAAAGGATCCTTCTAGGCTGCATTTACACAAAAACTAATTGATTGTAGAAAAACTACTGGTACAATTATCTCAGGTGAATTCAACTTTACCAATATAGCCTGGGATCTAAATGGTGCTCCATCTTTGCTACAAGAAGATAAACAACTAGAAAGTATTATAAGTGCTATCCAAAATGCATTTCTTTTTTAACATGTGTATATACTAACCTTTCAAACAAGCGATTATGAAACAACAAATATACTTAACCTTGTTTTCACGGAAGTATATGAGAAGTCAATGAACTGAAAATAGGAGCTCGTTTAAGTCATATTAATAAAGCACATCTCTTGTTAACATTAAACTTAAATTTGTCAAACAGCAATATGACAAAAAGATACTCAACCAAAAAATTTGTCTACAAAATTACGATGATTTAAATTATTGACTAGAAAAAAATATCGAGTGGAAAAATAAACTTAACAATGATCTTGATATTAAAACAAACTATGAAAACTTCATTAAAATTATAAACAACCATACTGGTTCAATAAACAACTAATAGAGCTAACCGAAAAAAAAACTTCTGGTTCAAATTTAAAGTAAGGGGTTTCAAACATGATCTATATATTCAAGAAATGAATTAGAGAAAAATTTCTTAGCAAATAGTTCTAGCTGATAAGAGATCAGATAAGATAATGTAAGACTTTGCTAATGACCTGATTGTTAATTTTAATAAATATATTATTTAAGTAGCTACAGAAGTTACTTAAAAAGTAAATGCAAAATCAAACCCAATAGTGATTTATTCTCTTTAGTATCTATTTTTATCTATAGTATCTTTAGTATTCTATTTAGTATCAAATAATTTAAAATCAAAAGAACAACATGACTTCATCAAGGGAAAATTACGTACATCAAACTTAATTGAATCATTTGATCTAATTACAAAAGCTAATGAAAATATGGTTACATTTGATATAATATTTAAAGACTCCAGCAAAGCATTTGATAAAGTACTACACACAAGACTTTGTTTAAGAAAACTAAAAAAATACAGAATATTAAATAAGATGCTCAACTAGATAATAAACTACTTAAAGGATTGAAAACAGCTTGTTGTACTTGGATATATATATATATATATATATATATATATATATATATATATATATATATATATATATATATATATATATATATATATATTTATATATATTATATATATATATATATATATATATATATATATATATATATATATATATATATATATATATATATATATATATATAATATATATATATAAATATATATATTATATATATAATATATATTTATATATATTATATATTTAATATAGTAATATAGTAATATAATATATTTAATAATTTTAAATAACATACAATTGGTAACCATATTGAATAAAAGAAATTAAAATAAAAAAATGAAAGTAAATTAAATAAGATCAACCATGAATTGGTACAATCCTCCAATATTTATAGAAAACTCTATTAC